ATAAATCTTCCCCCCCCTCCTGACCCCTAAGAGTGATTAGCATCTAATTTCTCCTTATAACATCACCCCTGAATTACTCATTAAGGTCGAGAGGATAAAGGAAATGATCGACTGAAAAAGCTTTTCATTATTAAACAAATTCTCCTTGTTAACATCAAAGGAAATGTATAGAAGATATTATCGAGAATATGCATACTGATGTTAGGGTGAAAGGGTAAAAGGACCCCCTCCTCTTGTTGAGCAACTCTGATTGGCTGAATTTGCATGGCTTGCGATATGAAAAAAATCCATTTTCATGACCAATATTAACTAAAGGTAAGATATCACTGGCAAGATGTCTTGAAATGCGAGCGATTATCTGCTGTTCTTAATTTCTAGCACATGCCCGGTAAGATAGGAAACGGACGCCTAAACAAGTGTGTCATCACCGGATGAAATCTCCGTCAGTCATTGTTACGCAATGCTGACTGGTCATGTGGCAATCTATTGTTCACTTTCCTGCAGACGGAAACTTGCCGTGCTTGAAGCCTAACAGTCCGTGAGAGGGAAATAGCTTCCCTAAATTCAGCACATTACCAGCTATTTACCGGGGCCCTGCCGAAGGCTGGCACCTGTCATAAAATGCAGACGGTTTCTGTCGTTTTTTTTTCAAGCGCTCCTCTATCACACGTGACTCTAGCTTCACGCGCGCCTTAGAAACGCAAAACCTCTTGCCTGTTCTCTTGGCTAAGTTTAAACGAAAAACAAAAACCTAAGATATATTTCAAGAACGTATCTTCTGAATTAGGAAATCGAAATTATCTTTTTCGACCGGCCTTTTTTCGATTCTCAGGTCTTGAATAGGTCACTGGTGAAAGAAAGAACTCTTTGTTCCAGGTGAATCAAACGCTCATATTAAACAATTGAAATATGTCATAGATAAACAATTTCCTGAAGACAAACAGTGCAAGCGTTTACGTCCAAATACCACGTGACGAGTTTTTAGCAGTGTGGGTGTATGTCGTGACTCACGCTTACAGAAATCCAAATGCTTACTTTACAACGTGACTAGAGGGCGAGCAAAATTTCTTGCCTGTTCTCTAGGCTAAATTTAAAACAAAACAGAACAAAATAACTCAGTTATATTTCGAGAAAGTATCTTCTGAACTAGCAAATTGCAATTATCTTTTTCTACCGGCCTTTTCTTTTATCAGGTCTTAAATACCGATCACGTCACGGGGGAAAGAAAGATCTCTTTGTTTCAGACGAAATCAAACGCTCATATCAAACAATTGCAATATGTCAAAGATAAACAAATTCCGGAAGACAAACAGCGCTAGCGTCCAAATACTACGTGACGAATTTATTTAGCAATGTGCGTGCATGTCGTGACTCACGCGCCCAAAAATATGCTCACTTTACAACGTGACTAGGTGGCGAGCCCTTTCAACGCCCACTTCAAAACTGGACACACTTCAAGATGGCTTTCATTCCATTATCTCTAAACACCAACAGGCTAATAATTCTAGGGTCTTAGATGATAACCAATGCGTGTGATAGCAATCGGAAAAAACACTTCAATAGTTGTAAATTTTATGGTTTAATTTCAGCGTATCTCAGACTCAACAGTGATGTGTAATATTTTCGCCTTTCTATGAGGTGTAAATAAAGATTAACTCTGTGAACGTCTACCCTTCAAATACAGGCCTGCTTCAAAGCTACCTCTTAATTTTGACATCCTGTTGAGCTTTAGCTGGAATCTTATTACCACAGACTGATTGATATTCCAGGCCACATGAGCAAGGAAACATATTGCGTACCTGGAAATTATCTTTCTTTACCAACACAGGATAAAACCACCCTCGTAATTTATTTCCTGTTGCAAATCACATGAAGATTCCCTCCTCGCTCAACAGACCAAAATCCAAGGGTTGATTTAAAAATAGGTTAAACCACCCGTTCCGGTGACAGAAAAAAGAAATGATGAAAAGATAGAATTATTCATTTCCGGACTCATCCGATCAAGAATTCTCCAGAATTATGCACTGACCTCCAAGATTTGCCTTCCAAGTAGGGGTAGCCATCCTAAACTGCTCTTTGCTTGGTCTGAACAAAGCTTCGCTCTTTTCCTGCGGTTTCATAAGTTTACAGCTTTACTTTTTTTTTTTACTGATCTCTATACCCCTTAGTGTTTCACACGCCTTGCGTAATAGCCACAATTTTTCCAACCCTTCAATTAACCCCTTACTTGCTTTTTATCTCTCCTTTCAGTATCACCTTGAAATCGAATGTAAAGGATGACGAGAATTGTAGAAAAAAAAACCATTTTGAGACACACCTGATTGTTAAGAAATTTCTTCGGCAATTATCACAGGAAATGTAAAGAGTCCTGCGTGGAGAATATAAATACTGATGTTATGGTGTAAAGGATTAAAACATGTATGTTTGGTCGGAAGATGCCTCTCAAAAGCTAGAACAAGAAAGCAGACTCCTTTTTCGTTGCTTCGATTTATATTTCAAACACCGCCGGTTGGAAACAAAACGCTGTAAAGAACTTTTTTCCTCGCAAGGCAATTAAAAAGCTAGCCACATTCCCCCGGAAAATTTCAAACTCTAGGCTGGGCCGAAACATCTGTTATTTTAAAATAAGTACGTTTTGTGCACGCAGGAAAGGGCTTATGTCGCTAGTAAAATTAGTTTCCAGGAGGCCACAAGCAGCTAATTTTTTTAACAAAGCCGCCCTCGAGCCAAAGATCAGGTAGGATCTGTGTGAGACGCTATTCCTAAAATACTATAACATGCCAAAAAAAGACTTGCAAAGGAAAAAAATCAGCGGTAGGGTCCATGGCACAGTCACCCTACTTGCACATGTCGTTCATCAAATTTATGTAAAGTGTCGCGCGCCTAAGAAAACTCTCCTGGAAACCTGAGGGTGGTGAATGGCAGAAGAAAGGGAAAAAGGAAACTCCTCTCCTAGGTAAGAATCGGTCGAGCCAAATTACCATCCCACGCGCACGAAGGTAGTTTTGTTGGCCCAAACTGTTCAACAGACCTAGGTCTAGCAAAGTAAATGGGCGCATCACCTACATAGCTTCTAACACAAACCTTTACTTCTCAAACTAGTATATGAATACGTGTGATCACTTTTTTCAGTTTAGATAGACTACGAGCAGTCCCTCATTTTGGGTGAGATCCTTCGGCAGTTAAAAAAAAATCTGCCAAAAAGAGAAAGTATTATTACGCTGCACCTCACTACTAGAGTTCCGCGCGGAAGGATTTCGCGTCTTTGGAAAGAGTTCTGCACCAAGGATTTCGCCGAAAAAGAGGGACTTTGCCTGGTTTACATTTTAGATTTAAGAAGGAATCTCAAATCATTTGCACGTTATCACTCATCTTTTGCCTCCTACGCACACGTGTTGGAAGTATTTGCATTACCGACCCGGAAAGGACGCCCACGCAATATCCGGGTTCGCCTCGAGTCCTGTGATCATAAAGGCCGTCACGTAAACTCAATAGACAGTGTGACATATGGATCACCTTTTTTTTTTTAGACATTCCTCCCTTTTCATGTTATAAATAGTACTGCGCTGGCTCAACATTCGTTTTTTTGTTTGGTTTTGTTGTTGTTTTTTTTTGCCTAAATAAGCCGTGAATATGTTTAAGGGAAAGAAATACGAACACCTGTTCTATATCGTTTATTGTTCCATTTTTCGGTTGAACTGGTCATCAGATCTTTGAGAAATCCGATTCTTTTTATACTTTGCAATTTTCGCTTGTAAACAAAGCTAACAAAGTCCACTGGAAATCAAAGGTCACTAGGAAATAGGGAATCAAAGTCCGCAAGTACACTAGCGATGTTGTTGATTTTTTAAGACGGCGTAAACGAGATTAGATTCGTTTTAGTTCACTGAAGAATTTTCGACATGCCTAGAAAACAGCAATAGTTATTTGCTCGTGATCACAACCCGAAGCAGAAAAGTTATGAAAACCGATCTCGGGCAGTGTACGCGTACTTAAAATACTCGCGAACCTGCGCGAGATACACACACGGAAGCCCACGGGTGGAGCGAGAATCCTGCGTGTGTAATTTTAGAATCCCCGTGGCGCTCTTCATCAAAAGAATCCGAGACTTACGTACGACTCTTCAGTAGTAGAGGAAGAAGTTTCATTACTTCCTCATAAAGAGTGTGTCGGAAACCTTGGAGCAAGTCCCCTTAATTTTTAGACCCAAATATTTGTTTGAATATTATCCATAATGGTCTCTAAACATTTCCCCTTGGTAGAGTTGGAAATTTTGTCTATTAATAAGAGCTTGTGGAGTTTGTAATTCTCAAAGGTAAAAATTTGTTGGGCAAAATTACATCCTAGTTACCCTTTACCACCTTAACATCTGTATGCATATTTCCGTGCGGTTCTCAATGTGTGATGCAGGCAAGAAGAGTTTGTTTAACACATGAGAGCTCTTAGGTTGGTTATCATTTCCTTTATTCTCCTGGTCTTAAGGTGTGATTCAGTGGTGATATTGTGGGAAGAAGTCAGATGCTCCTCACTCTTGGGGTTTGGGAGTTAATGCTTTTCTTTCCCTTCCTCACACAAACAATATAAACAAAAATTGCAATATAAAAGTTAATCCCTTTATTTACAATTTGCAATAAAACTCTCTATTTTACATTATTACCAATATGGTAGAGTCAGACATAATTTACAATACCCAAAACTTGATACTGTGGTCTTTTTACATCTTTTTTCTGATTTTTTCTTCAATTTTTGTTTCATTTTAAGAATATTTAAGTAACAGTAACAAAAAAAAAAACAAAAGGTACGAATGAAGAAGAAACTAAGCTTGAATGCTTGTAACTTTCTGAGCTTGGGACATTTTCAGTGCACAAGCACAAGTCTAAGCTTATGAACATAGAAGAAAATAAGTATCAACAAGCTAAGAGAGTATTAGATTTGGCAAAGTCTTATAGTACACAAGGTCCAGGTGTTTCAAGACTTGGGTCCACTGCGTACATCTGTGTCCAAGAACATCTCCGAGGAAGCACCCCAGACATGTAAGGGTAGTCAGAACCTTCAAGAAGGACTCGTAATCTCATTGCAACTTTGCGACTGTGAACAGAGCCTCCAAGAAGCACACATTGTACTCCATAAGGTCTCCACGTGAAGTTGTTCCCTGTAAAGCGATGTTTGACTGTTGCAAGTGAAGATGGAATCTGAAATCCTGGTCTGTCTGTTACCAGAAGAAAGGCATCTGCCTCAGCAACTTTCCTCTCTAATACTTTCAATGGCTCCTCATAAGTTTGGCACAAGCAGGCTTGAGTGTCTTCATACATCAGCAAAGGCACACTGACATTTGCACATTCTACACAGAAAACGGGTGACAATTCGAGATCAGAAAAATAATCATCAGAATTTTTAAGAAATATGGCCTTTTGTGTAACCAGAAGTATTTAGAATTGCTGCCGGAAGCCTAAAATACACAGTGATTTCACTGAACTTTGCATATACTTCCGGTAATTCTTGATACGTGGCAGAGAAATACATAAACATCACCCCTCGATCATCAGATCGATCAAAACACAAAGAAAGCGAACAAAATACAACTGTAAAAACATAGCTTTCGTGACGAAGTAATTGCAACATTTGAAAAGACACTTATACACTTCCAACGGTTTAGCAATATTCAATTTTATTTTGACAGTTCTCACAAACAATCAGACGTGTCAGAAATGTCAGCCGTTTCACAGATGTCGGAACAAGCAACCTCCAACATCCGTTTCAGGTTTGGAAACAATTCACCAAATCGGAAAGCCGAACCCGCCCCAGAAAAGCTTCCGTGAAACCCACAAGCACAGATAGAAATAAACTCTCTTTCCTTTGGAGCTGATAGTATCTATTTGAATTGCAAATAGTCACGAGGTCCTTAAACCTTCCACGTTTTTGTGAAAACCCACTGAGGCATAACGAGTGAAAAACGTTATTTTTGGACATTATATGTATTTAAAGAGGAAAATTTCGCAACCACTCGGTTTGATTTAATTTTGCCTCACAAAACACTTTTTGTCTTCACATAATCAAGGCTTTCTTAGATTATACTCCTAAGGGTTGGTTCTATATGCAAACCATATTTCGATTACCATAAAATTTGTTTACCTTCCGAGTTTGGATCTTGGCCAGTTTCGAACAAATAAATTACGCTGGGATTTTTCCCTTCCAAAGTGAAAGAGGCGAGGTAAAAAAAAAAAAACTTGGAATCGTTGGCATTTCTACTCACCAAATAAAGTTATTTGATGTCCTTCGTTGCAAAGTTGTTTCAACATGTACTGCGCTTGGTTTAGGCCATGACTGCTAGACATAAAATCCGCGAACAATACGATTTTCATACCGTTCGGAGCTTTGGTACTCTGCAAATCCCAAACCTGGAATGAAGACGAAAACCTGATAAGGAAGATGGCTCAATACAAAGATCTACTCACAATAAACACTGAACCGCATCAATTGAAACATTACATCAGAAAAACACATCAATCACGAGTTTTGAACGTGCAGAATATGATTTCTCAGCTGCCATGAACAAAGTCGACCTCGTCTAAGAAAAGCGCTGATGCAAGAGAACTTGCAAAAGAAATTTTTCTGTTGCCCATTTCCAATTTCATTTGGTTTTGTGACTCTTGATTTTCATACCACCTCGCTGTAAAGTGTTAATAATTTAGTATTTGTCCAAATTTCGGTCACGTCCGCAGGTCGAAAAAAATTTCCTTGCCTGGAGAAGAAAGCGAAGTCTTTTCTCGAAGCGCAGGAAAATTGCGACTGCGATCTCAACTCTGAAAAAGTCTCCCTAATATTTTTATAGCAGTTGCAGAAGAAGCCTCAGGTCGATTTAAACGTTTACAGTGATAGCTGTGGACCTCCACTCAACAACAGCCTAGCTTCACGAACGTCCGCAGCAGAATGAAGAGAGAACTTCGAGCGCGCGAGGCCACATCCGACAAATCATTCGATGTAATCGAAAACCACTTTAATTTCGAGAATAGGATCCTCAGCAGGTAAAAGAAAAGGCTCAATCAACAGATATGTCCATCACCTGATGAGACACGTCTGGCCTGTTGCCAATATATTCTGCAAGACCCCAGAAAGCCTGTACTGAAAATTACAAACCGAGAATTTTGGTCACGTACCCGCGTCCGATTGGATAATTCAAACTAGGAAATAAAATTTGGAAGCAAAGTAACAACTCCACGGACTTCCAAACACAAAAAAAAATTGCAAACGCAAACACTTTCGATATTAATCGCGCTAACACAGCAGTTTCCGAACGGAGTTGGCGAATTTTGAAATCGCTACTTTAAATTATCAACTAATCAGACTCCTTTTCCAAATTAAAAGAGTTTCGCTCTTAAATGCTACAGGTTTTGCAATGCCTTCGAAGGTGATCGCTATGTTGCCAGTTAATGCGGTTCTTAAATACTGAACAACAGCGAAGAACAGAAATTGACGTTATAAATACGTGCCCAATACGTCCCTTCGCTTGAAAAGAAAATTCGAACGAAGAGCCAGGGTCTTTAAACTAAAATCAATTTCAACATCGATCACTTACCAAGCTAGAGCTAGGGGCTTTTGAATTTCCTTTGCACATCTTGGTCGAATTCAGCTTTTCCCAATTCAATCTCTCACAACAACCTTGTTTCCACACCGTGCGACATAAAAGCACAGATTGGCTTTACCCGTACAAGGGTTTATAGCCTTTGACAATCTCTATGACGTCACACACTCATCATGCAAATTCACACTAAGCACGTTCTTAATTTAAATCTCGCCTTCTGATTGGCTTCCAGAACAATTAATCATTCACTGCACTGACATCATGAATCAAAACCCAGATGATGGCTAAAAAAGGCATATCCAAGTAAATGACTTCTATAATCACCTTCGAAGAATAGTCTCGAATATTCATGAGAATTCTAACAAAGAACTCACTTTGAACCAGGGCGCTTTGTTATTCTGCAAGTTTTAAACAAAAGACTTGTGATTTTTCGGAAAAAACAACATACAAAGCGAGGAACATGATTAAATGTTTTCTCTTGCAGCTGATAGGCTGAATCTGACACAAGGCTAAGTAGTCTGTCACAAAGATTAGTTTCATGATCAAAACCCTTTAGAAGTATTTCAGTTGAAAATAAATTTAAAAACACTAAGGTATAATCCAAAGAGAAAAAAAAATCCTTGACCTCTAAAAGATCTTTTTGTGTCAATGATTTTTCCCTACAACGATTACTATCTGCAATATAAAAGGAGTTTTTATTTACATGCAGGGAGTCATGTGCAAACGGATTTTAAACAAACTACGTGCCCGCTTGTAACCGCGAACGTGACGCTCCGGACGGTGACTTACTCATGGTTGATTCTGCCGGATCAAAATTGCTTTCATCACGCTCGCAACATCTCCGAGCAACGCGCCTGATTTTATCAATCGAAGACTTGATCGATTGAGGGTTGGCCGCTCTTGCTGATTTCATCGAAGACTTGATCGGAAAAATATAATAAACTGCGTGACCGATATCACAGTTCACCCACCTACCTTGTGTTTTCCTACGATATTGCCCCTGACAAGCTTTCTCCCTGCTCTCAAGTTTTTCATGGCCCTACTTATTCGGATTTAAACGCATTGGTAACGGAAATTGACAGAATCGAGCTAAGCCAGCTAAAGAAGAAGTCAAAACAGATTGAACTTTCTCAGACAATTTTGGAGCTCTGCCATTGAATGCATTAAAATTAGCTGTGTGCGGTTGTTCAGCCAGGATGTTTGGGTTTACCGATCATTGAATAACTTCTTTCTCTCTTCCTTGATTCAAGGAGTGATTTGTAAACATGCTTTGTTCCACCGTCATAAATTTTAAAAACTCATAAACAAAAGAGATTTAAAACTTGGCATAGTGCCCGCTCTTTTGCTTTGTTTCATTTGGTTTAGTCAAAGAACTTGTGTTCGATCATGTGATCTTTGTTCAGACACACCCCCAATACACCCATGGGAGGCGTGAAACCGAAACAACAGCTTGTTACCAGTCCAAAGTTTGCTGTTTGAATATTCTGTGCTTCTCATTGTAATGCATTTTTTTCACTCCATTTTCGGCAAGGACACAAAAGCAATATTGAATTTTGATGAGGGCAAGTTCGGGCGAAATCAGTAACTTCACGAAGACCAATACAATAATGTTGAAATTTTCATTCTTGTCTTTTTCTCTCGGCTAATTTTTGCCATGACTTGGTGCTCATGAAGAATGTTTTGAATAAGCACTCCGAGTCCTTTCAATAAGTGAAATTTTAAACATTACCTGTGAGATTTAGTCCTTTGTTTTCCTTGAAACCTCTTCAAGCCAAAAGATCAGTCACAAAACAAAACAGTGAGATGGATTTTATCCGAGAAAAATGTTTTGCCTCATTCAAAAACAACGAGGATTTAGGCTTTGAAACCAATTTCTAACGGCAGGTAATGGAGAGGAAAAGGGGTTTTTCCCTTTCACGGTCTATCGATTCACTCTCAAGGGCGCCTTGCCTGAACTAATGGCTAAAAATATCATTTGATTTGTTGACAAGTTCCAGACATATATTTGTTCCTTAATTTCCCGGGAGAAATTACGATCAATTTTTTCTGATGGTTTACGAATGTACCTCTTGACAGGACGAGCCATTAGTTACAGTGGGTTGTTCTTGTGATATGAATAAAGGGGGTAAGTTTTAGAGAAACTGTGGTGCTGCGTCGAAACATCAGCTTTGAAACTCTTTACAGTGGCCAATTTACGTTATCAACTCAGTTGATAATATTAAATTACCCTGTTATTGTTATAAATCGTTTTTGTTTGTCTTATAATGGAGTATGTTAAGCCGACTTATTTGGCAACGAAAAGACATAGATGTCTTTTTTTATCAGTTCTGATCTGAAATAGAGCGCTTAAGGTCACCAGCTTTCATTCTGTTAACCTGAGGTTTTACACCCAAGACAGGAATCTGAAAGTTACCCTTGAGCTCAAATTTAAATAAAAGAGAAAGTGAACGAATATTGACTGTTTTTTAATCAACTATTATCAAATTTCGGTGTGAATAACAGTCCCTCAAGTTGTGTACAGCTGCTTGACCGGAATAAAGCTGACATATTTATCAGCTGGTGCGACAACTTTTTCGGCCCGGAAATTCAAAACAACACGAAATATTTTGAGAAAAACTCACAGGCTATTCAACCTATAAAAACTTCCACCTGTTTATGTTTTTCTCGTCTTTCTTCTCGAACATACCATTGAGCAAAAACAAACTCTAATGTGCATTGGATACAGACACGAAATAAAAATTGTTTTTAAAGGAATGAACTTGAAGATTTTTAAGTGCTCCTCTATCGAAAATATTTTTTTAGGTTTTGTTATTGAAATAAAAAATGACATTGATTTGATTTATTATAGCTAAAGTACCAGACACGAAATGGAAAAAAAGTTCGTCAGCGCCAGAGGATTTAATTTAATTTTCTGTGCTGCTTTCTTAAACTATAAACTATTTTGTGACTGTTTTGTCAACAGAAACTAAAAACAAATCGTTTAAGTTAAAAATTATCTAAATCTGGGTATACACCCGCGTCACCTGAAGACCTTCTTTCTCGAATCTCCTCGAGGGCTTCGATTCTTTTGTCATCAGACTGTAAAAAATATTTATTTCAATCCAAGAAGATGCTCTTTTAAGATTAGAATGGCGCTCAGATGGGAGAGCAAATCAGCACGTGCCTTGACTGGAAATGCTCACGCAGGCGCAGACATTTTGCAGCGGCGATCGGTAAGTGATCCGATTCCAGTCCAAAAGGCCACGTAGCTGCATGCAAGTTAAGAAATCCGCTAAACGCGAGAAGAAAATTATTGTAGCTTTGTTTTATGGAAACCAAAGAGTTTCTGAGAATGTGATGATCCACTTGAAAAACTAAACTAGTGTTCTGGTAGGCGATTCTGGCGAAACACAGATGTCTTTTATTGAAAAAAATAAGCTCTAATCTGCATGGAGCCTTGTAAAGCTTTCTAATGAAGTCACGTCTACATTCTCTCATTTTCGTGCACAGAAACACGCCAACATTTAAAATCAAAGATTGAAAACTTACCGAGAATTGTCAGGTGTAAAGCATTTTCCCGCTGCTTTCAGGTTTAACATGATAAAATTATTTATTTTATTTAATCTATTTTTTTCAAAATATTGAAAGCATTCTGCCGTGATGATTTGTTTTTCGTGCATATAAACACGATACTCTCAATAGGGTACTCGTATTCGTCTCTTATTTAATTTTTTTTCGTTTTCACGAATAAAAGAAATAAGCTAGACTGAAATAAAAACTAAAAAAATAAAATTAAAACGAAAATCAGAAGTTCTTGTGATATTTCTCATCAGTGCACGAGTACTTTGATCTCTAGCTGAATGACAGATTGTCCTGAGGAACTTGCGTGTTTCAATGCCAAAAAAGACAATAACATTGATTAGCACTCTCAGCGAGTGTTTTGACGTCAAATTGAACAATGAGCACATTGATCTTTATTGAGTCCAAGAGACTGAAAAACGAAAGAACTCATGACTATCACTAGCAATGATCATTTGGGGATGTGATCGACTAATTTTGCTTAAAAAGCTAATGAACCCAAAGTTATCAGTAAACGGTAAACTTATTCACGAATAAAATTTATGATAGTTTACTATTTTTCCCAAGAAATTAAACCAAAGAGTCTTTTTAGAGGAATATTAGCCAACAAGACAGGCACGACGGGTAAACTGTCCTGTTACGAGCATGACGGGAACTCAGACTTCATAGGGTTCAAACCGGGTTACTGATAGTCAGATACGTTCACCATGATATATTTCATTTTAGGCGTTGGTCACAAAGTGACCTCGAAAACCTAAATGTATTGTAATTTTTCCATAGTCTCTCCAATGAAACATAGTCAAGTGATTTAAAAACATTTCTCATATTCTTCCAAAATCCCAAGGGGGTTATTTCGCCAATAAACCGATGGAAAGTGCGGTCTTATTGCTGTTATAAAATAAACTTTAAAGGAAAGTCTTGATGGACTCGCTGTAGTGCATCTTAAATTTACTCTTCATCAACAATATTTAATACTGTTCTAGTGGATTTACTCTTCAGCAACAATATTTAATACTTGTGTATATATTCTTAACCGTCAATATTTAATACTGTTCAAGTGCGTTCCGGTATCATCAAAATAATACGTTGCAAG